ATCAGGACTCGAACCAGCGACCACAGCTACTCGAGAATTCTGACACCCGGAAATAACTAGATTCCGATACATTCAAGGCTTAATTGTTGAAACTGCACGACAAAAGCATCGGGGAGAGGGGGGAGGTTGCATGATGAAATTATAAAAATAAAATTCAAAATAGAACCATTATTTAAATTTTAGTTTTAAAAACGACAAGATGTAATTGAAATAAAATATTAACAATAAAAAAATTCATTAATAACTTAAACGCGTTACGGGAAAAAAAAGAAAGAAAATAGAACAAATTTATCACATTTGGGCTCCATTTTTTACATTCACCATTCTCTCGTATTTTTCAATGAAAGAATAACAAATACAAAAGCATCGCGTGACTTCGCAAAATAATTCAATACAACGAAAATAACGATCAGCCGTCAAGAAATCATTATAATCAAAATGTTTCATTTCCTGCTTCATGAAAAACACACCATAAATATTTATTTACACTATTCAAAACTTCTCCAATACAAAGAAATAACGATTTCTTTACATTATAGAAAACCTATAATGAATAACAAAGGAAATCTTTCGAATCTGAATTCTCAGTTATTAAATACAATTCGAAACTGACTTCACAACAAAACTAAAGTGTTCCAATAATTTATTTAAAGCGAATCTCTCCACACGCCAAAAGAAAACTAACACTTTTGACAATCCCCGAAGACAGAAATACGATAAATATTTAAACGAATTCTAAATAACAAAAGGAAAAAAAGATTCTTTCTGAGAACTTCTCATTGAACATCACAAATACGAAATTCTGAAAATTCGAACACGAACAGAAACAGTTGGGTAGAGGAACGCGAATTGCGAAAACTTAATTAGCATTGGGAGAGAATGCCACTCAAACGGAAAGCTGGTTTCAAAACTTTTCCTCTTTCTCCATTTTTCTTTCCTTTTTCTATTTATTCACTCGGAATTTTTCAATATTTTGCAGGTGACTTGAAAGAGTCACGGAAAAACATTTCAAAAAACAAGAGAAAACTCAAATACTTTGTTATTTTCATCGTTTAGTATTTTTAACAAATAAATTCTTATTTTCCATGGATCTTGTAGCAATTACACTAGGTTACATATTCGCGATACTTCTAAAAATATATGGACGCGTCGCTGTTGTGAATTGTAGTCGCTGTGTGAAATTGAATTTTAAAAAAAAATATGCTTACGTAAAATATCATCTGCTATTCTAAAAATTATATTTTAGAGATTTTTTTTTAAGGTGAATGACTACGTTCCAAACTGTGATTTTGAAAAGACGGATAAATGAATACATTTTATGATGTTTAGTGTTAGTTGAATTGGAATAGACATAATATTATTTTACGAATTTTATTACAAAAAAAAAAAAATTACATGCAATTTTTTGGCCGAAAATGAAAAAAAAACGACAATTTAAAAGCATATATATATATGTGCATTTAAATATATTCTAATTTAATTCTAATTAAATTTCTATATATTCAGAAATATTGTTATTAATTGCATACAACGCAATAAATTTCTAGTTTCAAAAAAATCAGAAAAAATAAACTATAAGCATTGCACTAAATATTGCTTATTTCAAAAATACCCAATTAATTTTATTAATATAAATTTATCATTTTTCCTAGATTGTTATGGTTACCTCCAAATTCTAATTTTAGATAAAATTACTTATTCTTTTTTTTAATCATATATAATTTTAGTGTCCCTACGGTATTCTGGTAGTATATTTACAATTTTTAATTTTTTTATTTCTATTCTTTTCATACTTTTGCTAAGTTCTACTACTATTCAGCCATTCCCATGCTTTGAATTTGCATTTGGGTTCAGAACCTTGTAATCAATAACTTGTCTATTGTACTCAGATTTAGCGTGGGCTCTGCATTTTTGAATGCAATTTATAGTAAATTACCTTTTTCTTGCAATGGATTTAGATATTCTGTCCATTATTTTTTTATAAGTTTTTGCTTAGTATTATTAACAGAAAGGGGGAAGGTTGGCTGGCCACAAAACATGTTCAACTCCACACTTTTGTATAAATTATTTTATATATAAGACCTGTCCTTAGTCAGCATTGTTTATAACATTGTAGCACATCCATGTTTTTATATTTTAAACTCTATTATTTTTAATTTCTCATATATCCTTTCTAAAATCTATTGTCTGGTTAACTTGCAATTTCAATTTTTTTCAGTTTTGATTAATGTTTATTCATCTTTCTTGTAGAGAAATTTTGACTGTGTAATCCTTTTCCATCTTATAAAAAAAATTAATTTTTTTTTTTTGTAAAATTATTTCAATTTTACATATGCATATTCTCATTCAACCAACACTAAATATCAAAGATTTATTAATTTATACGCTTCTTCAAAGCGACGGTTCCAAATGTAAATAATTTTTTAAAAAAATGAGGTTTTTCTTTTTTTTAAAGTTTTTTTTTTTTTAAGTGAAAACTTTTTTAGCGGCGTTGGGCACTTTTTGGTAGGGGAAAATTAATGGGTTCGCGTCACCGACATGCTCTAACTGGCGCACGCGCAGTTCGCCTAAGACACTTTTTGGATGGGTGAAATCTCGTGCGTTCGCGTCACCGACATGCTTATAGCAGTATATCTGTAGCTATACAGCTGACGTCTAGTGCTGTGTATATCTTATAAGTGAAATTGAATGAATTTAGTGAGTATATACTGTGCATTGCTCGTTGCGTTTCCGAGAACGGGCAATACATATTAATGGTTGCCGTTTATATTTCGCCTGGAAAATCTAAGAGACAGAAACAACAAAATTTATTCGAAAATTTGATGATTTATACAAAAGAAGGTTCTGAAATACCCCAAAAAAGATTTGGCGAAAAATATGATAATGTACCGATGATTTTAAGTGGAGACTTCAATAAAAACTTTGCAGATGATAAAAATCTACCATTAATGAAACACTTAGTTTAAATATGTCCAATGATCGAAAACTCAGTACTACAAAATATAAAACGACGATCGATGCGGTTTTTAAGCGATACTTAGATAAATTTGAATCAAACATTTTCCTTTCTTGCTTTAGTTACCATACGCCTATTGTATCTTTTATAGAAAAAAAACGAAATGATTGAAAGTACAAAAAGTCTAAGTATTGTTGAAATGAATGATGACAATGATGCAAACAATTAAAATGTTAAAAATAAAGTACATTGAAATTTAAGTAAATACAAATACTATCCATAAATGATTGTATAATAGTTGCTATATTTCATTTAAATTGCATTTATATTTTGTCATGATCTTGTACAGCCCCCGTAATATATTTGAATAATAAAAAACCATATAAACATGCATTTAGTTGTTGCTCGGAGTGTCAATAGATGTGAAAACCAGATTGATGTTGATAATTTTAATTCAAACATTATGAAATTTCAAATTTTAATACTAAAAAAGTTTTCAGTTCTATCGGCAGTCTCTATATATATAACCGCCATTTTTTTTCTCTTTCAAATTTCGTTAGGAATTGCTTGAGGAATTGTGCAATTCTACAGTAAAATTTCCCACATGCAAATACTTTATTAAAATTAAACATATATGAAACTAATTTCTCTAAAAATATGCTCATACACTTGCAATATATACTTTTCCCCTTCTTATAACAGAGTTCTAAAGTCTATTATGCAAGCAAGCCTAAAGATTCTTAAGAACACAGTGTTAACTTTACGAATTAACATGGAAATACAATTTAGGAGAAAACTAATCGGTTTAACAGTAAGCCTTTCGTATACGTACCCTAAATCAGGTTAGTAAGCATTTGGGCCAACCAGTTTTCCCTGATAAATAGTACTAATCCCCCTAGCGGTAAGATTTTTTTTAAAATTCATCCAAGTGACTAATCGGATGATACAATACTTTCCAGAAAATCCACGACTGGACGCGAAATAAAAAAAGAATTTCCCGATTTGGACGGCAGCCAAACGATAACTGGAGAGTCCGGAAGTTTCGGAACAATTGCACCAGGAATAACGGGAAAAAAAACTCTTCAATTCACGTCGAATGTTATTTACTTTAAAAGGGGCAAATAAAATAAATGTATTTGTTGAATGTATAAATGGATTAAAGGTTTTCTTTGATCAGTTGAAACACAAAACGAATACAATTAGTATCATTTGATCTTAAATTGTTTTAAAATTATTTTAGTTACGCCATGAAAAACATTAAGAAAATACAGGGAGTAATTAACAAAAATGGACAAGTAAAATCTATTTAAAGAATATACAGAAACAATCATCAAATCGACTCTTAATTTGCTGACCAATTTATTTGGTAGCCAAAACGTGTTTATATTTATAATCATGTCAGTTTTCACAAAAATAATGAATTTTATTTAAAAAGTATTTTTTATCAATAAATTTTTGCTTTTAAAATTCAATTATTTTTTAATAACATATTTACCCCTGGTAGCTTTAAACTAACCTTCGCAAGTTTTGAAAAGAACTATTAAAAACGCTGTAATTCAAAATGTATACTGGATTCTGTCATCTGATCATAGTTTAACTTGTTTACAGTGGTTTATAAAAAGGATTTCCCTTCTATTTTAAAAATTCTGAAGAAAAAAAGGATTCTTCAAATATTGGAAAATTTAAATTATTGGAAAGCCCCTTCGTCCAGTTTCAAAATTACGAAATCCACCACAAACAGCTATGTAACTAACCGCTGTGGGGTGGATCCAATTGTAGGTTTTTCAATTCCTACTATTAGTTCACTCTTTCCCCCATATATATATATAATCTTATTCAAATTTTCAATCGTTAACAAAAAAACTTTCTATTCATCCATTCAAGTTCGAATACATTTTTTAAAACTTGTAGTGGATGACACTTGATGTTAATACACACAGTTTTTTCAAATATTAATTCACTAATTAAATTAGAACCTAAATAAATAGTAACAAACAAAAATAACAGTCCAACAGCATATATAGACAGGAAAATCATTCGTTGTGTCCCTGTAGCGCAATGGATAGCGCTTTGAACTTCGCCAAGACTTCCAAAGGTCTTGGGTTCAAACACTATCTGGGATGGCCTAATTTCTGACAATTTCTTTTTTTACTATTTATTAAAATAATTAAATTGGATTCATGAATAAATAGTAACAAACAAAAATAGTCCAACATTCTATATAGAAAGGAAAATGGAAACTTGCAAGTAAAATCGTTTTCTATTTTATCCCTTAATATTGCGATTCTGTCGTATGTATATAAAAATTCATATCCATTTTAACTATTTTTTTAAAAAAGTCGTTAAAATAAAATTTCTTTGATGACCTAAGTAGAACCCTCTCCTAACTACCACACCAACGGGAGGACGTTTGAGCTCTCGACAAATTTAACGTGCATCGCTCCCCTGCACGGCGGGTCTTTAGTGGTACTGGGCTCGAACTCATGACATGCCAGCCACGATCCGATACTTTGACTACTAGGCTACCGCGGCCACATCACCGGCCTCGATGCTAGTGACTGTAACCGCTTGGATAACAAATTCCACACCCTTCATGAAGCTTGTTATCGTAAACAAAAACAAAAAAAATTGAGGAAAAATGCATACCACAAGGTTCATTGGTTCAGACTTTCAATTTTGTTCAATACACCCAAACAATTTCTTATTTCGAAAAAAAGTCACCCAGTGCATCCTATTCCCATTCGAAAACGATTACGATAAATCATTCCGACTCATCCATCCGACAATCAAAACCAAAGCAACACAACGGCGCTTGTTGCTTTACACAGCAAAAAGGAAACTTTGTCATATATCATAGAACGTAACGCTAAAGAAATCGCACACCACATGGGAGGGGGGGGGGCTAGGTTCCTTTTAAATGCCAGGGGATCGTATATCAGTCAAGACAAGACACCATCTGTTTTATTGGAGTCGAAAAGATTCCAATAAACAAGAAGGCGCACGGCGCTCACGTTTATCATCTATCACCAAAACGTGACGCCGGAAAATAGCAGAAGGTCGGCCTTTTATCAAAGTCGTGTTGGGGTGCTCCTCCAGAACACAGCGATGCAGATAATGGTTGCGTTGGGTAAACAGCAGACATTTTGTTTCGGCTCCTTCTGGAATTGATTGGAGCAGTTCCGTTTCTCCACACGATACATTGTAAATATACAATTTCTGTAGTCTTAAATATCAAAACAGGAAAAAATATTTTTTTATGAATATCAATTAGAAAACAAGGAAATAAAAATTCGGATGCTTACAAATTTATCATTAACAACATTTTAAAATGAAAAATTTTTGCAAGCATTGACCTATTGATTTCTAAGTTTCAGTCTGCCATGTTGTTTCTTCCAAAACGAAATAGGGAAGAAAGAAAAATTGAAGCGTATAGGCTTCATTTTTATATTCTTTGATAGAAGTGCAAGTGACGTAAAAATCAAATTTATAATTAAAAAAAACCAGATGTGAACATAATTCATCCTTTCTATCACAAATCGTTAGTTATAACACTATATAATAAGTATGATAAACAATACCCATGTTTGGTTTGATTTCAATTTATGTCGTACTGAGAAGCAATACGAGGGCTAATGGCGGCGGACCTCGTAATTTTGAATCATGGTCAAGACCAGGACACCCGAGCTGGATCTCTCCTCTCCAAGCTTCCACACCACGGCAATATGAGGACTTTCAGCCACGCCAGATTTAACGTGCGTCAGGCCCTCCGAACTACGCGTCTTCAGTGGCGTGAGTGAATGAATATTGACGTCGCGCTGTTCAGCTACACGAGGGCTTTTGGCGACAGACCTTGTAATTTTGATCTATAGTCAAGTGATGAGGACGACACCTGAGATGGCACCCCCTCTCTGAACTACCACCCCACACAAATGGCAAAACGTTTGAGCTCTTAATAGATTTAACGTGCATCACTCCCTACACAGCGGATCTTCAGTGGTGCTGGGCTCGAACTCATGACAAACCAGCCACGAGTCCGTTACCTTGACCACTAGGCTACCGCGGCCACGGGTCTTCAGTGGCACAAGGGCTCGAAATCATGACACGCCAACCAAGATTTCGTAACCATGACCAATAAGCTATCGAGGCCACAAGCCAATGAATGAGAGGATTTCGATACAAGAAAGATATAACGTGTATCAGCTACGATATTGTAGTGGCATTCCGACACATTAAAACTACTATTATTAAGTATTCATCATCTATAACAAATACACATTGTAGCAAGAAGGGCCGTGGGTAGCCTAGTGGTTAGAGCATCGGACTCCAGACCTGAGGGCCTGGGTTCGATGTCCGATGCCACTAAATACCACCGAGAAAGACGGAGTACGTGCTCGTTAAAATCAGTGGGTCCGAAAGTCTTGTGGGCGGTCGCAGCAGAAACCACGAGTGCAGGGGGCTGGAGAATATTTCCCTCCTCTTCAGTTCCATGCCAAAATTGTGGAGATAGAGATCGGTGGTGTCGCCATCTATCGTTAAGAAGTCCAACCTGTCTCACAGGCAATGGCAACTTTCATTCCTTCCCTGCGGGAAGGGCACGACAACAACATTGTAGCAAAAACAAAAATCAAATGTTTAAAGAACATGGTATTAGGTCTTTATTGTCACCAAGGTCGACCTAAATGACAAAACACCCAAGTCCTTTATTAAGGACTATTTATCACATTAATATAAAATGAGTCCACATTTTGTAACAATGCGTACCCCATCCACTGAATAGCCTGGTAAGTACAATCGAGAAAATTACACCCAAGAACAGAAAAGAAACAAGCAAGACATCTGATTAATGAACACAAATGTCGCAAGGGGAATTTCATTTGTTGTTTGCGAGGCCTAAATCAAGTTCTTCGGGGCTACCTAATTAAATAATAACCTGCTTTATTATCACAGGAAGTCTTTCTCTTCGGCATTTCAAAAATTCAGTCCGGCCAACAGCGAGGTTTCACCGCCGAGTAAATGAATGGTTCGATCAAGGTCGACTCACAGTTCTTCGACGCCACCTTCATTAAATTCATCATGTGAGACTTAATCTGTAACGTAAATATTGTCACGTTGGTAGAGGAAAGGGCTGCTGTCGCCAAAACGAGGAAAACTTTACAGCCCTGTACAAGCCAGAATCCTGAAATTATGATCGTCATGCTCTTTAAGTTAAAAGTTGTGCAACATTTGTAGGGTAACGCGAAATAGTTATGGCTTGAAATAGAAAATCAATCTACTTAACAAGCAATTATTTTAATTCCAAAACAAGCAGCGGTTTTTTAATTGTGGTCCGCGGACTCCTGGGGGTCCGAAGTTTCTCTACGGGGGGGGGGGGGGTCCGCGAAATCGCTTGTAACGTTGAGATTTCCTTCTTTTACAGACTCTGAAAGGCCTCGTGGGAAAAAGATGTTCAAAATCTTGGGGGGCCACGATATCACCCTGATACATACAAGGGGACCGCGGCGATCGAAAGTTTAAGAACCGCTGCACTACAGGATACAATTAAAAATACGTAAGCAAAAAAAGGGCAATAATATTATTGAAGTTTGGGAGGAGAATTTATAAAGCATAAATAAACAAAACAAACGTTTCTATAATGATATTTTCAACATAGTTACCCACGACAAATTAAGGGTTAATTTTAATGCTCGAGGAGTAATGACAGCAGCACAATACCGCATTTTTTGATAGACAAGATTCAAAGTACCCGAAGGAGACAAACGTAGAAGTCTCCAATTCTAAGCTTTTGAGTTGATTCTACATTAACGTCTCTCAAAAACAAGAGAAAGAGAATTACTGCAAACGAAAAATGAAATTTCAAATCAAAGATCAAACGACGAGGATTCACGTCATCAGTTTAGCTGGCATCCCACTCTTTGAACTTTCATACCATTCTAACGCGAGGACTTAACAGCCATGGCAGAAGAAATGTCTTAGACCTTACACATATCGGTCGTGTTGTGAGACAGAGAGGAAAGAGAAAGAGAAAAAAAAAAGAGCGAGAGAAAAAGATGGGGGAAATAGTCATACAGTATACATTCCTGTATATGTACAATTTGTACAGACTATTAGGATTATAAACTATAGTATAATCAAGTCACAGAATTATGAAGCACAATAGAATTGTACTTGACAAGGAATTCTTTCAAGTAAAAAGAGCGTCTACTGATACATTTAAAATAATTCCCTAACGAATATCTCTAAGGATTTGGAGCCACGGAACAGAAGATGGAAACCCACTTCCAAGTTTTTAAATTCCGCTATATCTAAATGCGAAAAATGAGATGTCTCGCTATATTTAACACGAGGCAATCTCTCAGCACGCACATACACATAACCGCATCTCTATCATCCAATCTATCACGTCCCTAAAATAAAAGGAGTGTTCCAGACAAAACTTTTCCCCACAAATATCCCACAATACTTTTTAATTACAATACACAAAACTCCAGATAATAACTTCAAGGGGGACAGCCTATAAATACTTCGCACATAAAAAATTCACTCATTAACTGCATCCCTTCGCTCCAAACTTTTATCTCATTTCGACAAGTTCATGAATATTAAAAATGATTTTTTTAAAAAAAAAAGGGGGGGGGGTGAGCTCGTGCGTCACAACCATAATGGATTCCGGAATTCTTGTCTTTTTCATTGGGACAATTGGTGGCATTCCTTGATTCCCGGGAGCTCCACCCTGAAACATTAGCGTCTGACATGCGAAGGTGTCGTCATGACAACGCACTCACGCCCAATCCCCCGAGATAAAATTGGAGCCGGAATTCCTTCTTGGGAGACGTCATCCCTATTGATCGGCATTCGACGGATCATCCTTTTTCTTTGGACCACGGTCAGTCGGACAGATGGTCAAAGAGTCTCCCCTACTCCACATAGACACACCTCCTGTTTTTGCGACGCGACATCACATCTGTGTCGTCGTAAGAATGGAAACATTGTCAGAGTTTCGAAATGCCAGATTTGGAAGTTTATCTTTTAAAATCGGTACTTACAAGAGAATTTTCGAAACAAAATTCGTGACTTTCGAACAAAAGCGAAAATTATTCTGCTCTCCCAATTCTTGATCATAAAA